ACCCCGAACCCTATAGATCCCCGGTCGTGGTCTTTCTGGAGCTCTTCCTGATGTCTTGCCTGGTACTCAGAGACTTCCGGGGTTAGGGTTTAGGGTTTAGGGTTTAGGGTTTAGGGTTTAGGGTCTTTAAGGCTTACAGTAGAAGCCTAAAGCTTGGAAACCCGATAGCCTCAATCCTTAAGAGGAATGTATAGGGTAGCACTAGTTGACCTTAATCCAGTTTCCAACTTGTTGGGGTTTAGGGGTTTATGGCTCAAGGTCTCAAGGCTGATAAACCGTAAGAGCCCCCGAAAATCCGCAAATGCCTCAGTGGGTGGAAGACCTGCAGCGAGCATCGAGTCCTTGGACAGGACGTCATGGTTTGGGGTTCGTAGGGTTTAGGGTTTAGGGGGGTTTGTAGGGTTTGGGACTTAGGGCTTCTGGCATTTACGGTTTCTAGGGCTTAGGGCTTAGAGGGATTAGGGGGTTTGAACAGGGGGGCTTTTAGGGTTTAGGGCTTATGGCATTTACGGTTTCTAGGGCTTAGGGCTTAGAGGGGTTAGTGCTTGGGGTTTGAATAGGGGGGCTTTTAGGGTTTAGGGCTTAGGGCGTTTAGGGCTTTGGGCTGCAAGTTTACGATTTGGGGGGGTCCGAAAAAAGGGGACCTAATATAGTACCCTAAATAGCAGGATCCTTATTATAAGAACCTCAAAATAGGGTACCCCTAATGTTCGGAAACTCCCATTTAGGGTTGTGGGTGGCCTTGCAGCTAGACCTGGGCTGTGGGGCACGGGGTAGTTGGTTGTCGGGCTCGCCTCTACATTAGGGTTGGGGGTTTAGGGTTTAGGGTTTAGGGTTTAGGACTTAGGGTTTAGGGTTTAGGGTTTAGGTTGAGGGAAATCCCAGAAAAAGAGTCCTTACACCACTAGCTTTTTGAGGCCCTTTGAAAGTGTCCACGGCAAGCCTGATCAACATTGCAACCTTGCAGAGAGGTCGTAAAGGAACCCGGACATCAAGACTAAACCCGACAGCATCAGAGCGGCAAAGGTCTGCGGGACATCGCCACTACGCCCGGTCCTGTCATCAATCGGACTCCAGTTTGGATGCACATCCCTACTGTTGATGATACAAATCCTGCATTACCTGAAGGACCCTAAACTATAGGAATGTATGGTATATTCCTTATTATGGGCAATGCAGGATTTATATCATCAACCGTACTTTCGATGTTGTTTTCAGGTTTGGGGTTTTCCACCTGAACCCTAAATCCTAGCAAAGGGTAGTCGCCACCTACAGGGCCTACAGGGCAACCTATGTTTTCGGAAGCCTCAGACCTACACCCTAAACCCTAAACCCTAAAACCCCTAAGCTTTAGCAATAGATCCTCCCTAAAGCTTGTAACGATGCGGTTGAAAACATGCAGCCTTCCGCAGCTTCAGGCTTTCGCATGCCGGGTTTTGACTGGAGGGTTGGGGTTCAGGGTTCGGGCGTTTACGGGAATCTTGACATGCAGGAGACGAGCTTTTAGCCGCAATGTCCTGGGTTGGTGTCGAGGGATTTAGTTTGAGTTACCATAAAAAAGAAACTATATTCTTTAACTGTAGATTCCCATTCTGGTAACTTAAATGACCACTTCAGATCCGCATTCTGGCAACTTTATAAATGACCCTAAACCCTAAACCCCTTAACATTAGCCCCAGTTTCTCACAGCTCCACTGACAGTGCCCGGAGCTACTGGAGCCCCCTATATAGGCAGCGGGCTTCCTGACACTACACATTCGGGTAATGTAAGGGCCTTACCTTAACCTACCAGAACCCACTTTTTTTGTAGGGTCCCTATAAATCCCATATTAGGGTTTATAATAAGAACCTACAAAAAAGTGGGTTATGGTTGGTTCAGGTAGTAATTAGAATAGGGTTCCTTTAAAAGGGGTCTTTAAAGGCTTCTATAAGGGTTCGTATAAGAGCTACTCGAAGGGTTTAGGGTCTAGGGGCCTTAGTAATTAGAAGAGGGGCTTGGGGCTCTTTTTTGGTATAGCTATACTTAGGAACTCTAAGAATACTAGAATAAAGTATAGATATACTAAGAAACCCTAAGAATACTATAGGTAGTTGTTCAGGCTTCTATGTTGAACTTCAGGGCTCACGGCCTAGGCGGCTTCGGGTTGACACAAACTCAGGGCCTGCTGCCGTCAATAGAATTGGAGGCGATGGGCCCTTGAGAAAAGGCCTCTTCAACAGACGAGATGGGCATGCCCTAAATTAAAAAAACCCAAAAGATACAGACCTCAGACTGAAACGGCATGCCCTAAATTCTACAGTTTCTAAAGCCTAAACTTATTATAGACCTTAGGCCTGGAACCCTAAGCCCCATGGTCATGCCCTAAATTAAGAAAACCCAAAAGATATAGACCTTAGACCTGAAACCCTAAACCCTGAATCAGTCAGGGCTCTGTTGAGAGTTGATTTAGGGTTTCAAGGGCCTAGTGTAGGGGCCTTAGTAACTAGAATAGGGTTTTGGGTATATTACACTGTGTTTAAAATAGGGAACCTCCAAGATAGTATAGGTAATGATTGGCACGCAAGTGGCACCATCAACCATAAGACTACGGCCACTACTATCGCTACTCCTCCTCCTTTGCCTCCTCCTCCTCCTACTACCACGACGACTATTCCGAGACTACTGTCGCCCCTAAACCCTAAAACCTACACCTACTACCAACAAGAAACCCTAAACCCTAGACCCTAGACCCTAAACCCTAAACCCTCAAGGGCGGCCCCGCCTATGCATGGCCTTCATGAGGGTGTTGTAGGTCACCTTCCGGTGGGGAAACTTCGGGGCCGGTCGGGATTCGAAGAGTCGGAAAAGGTGACAAAAGAAGCCCAACTTATACCCAGTAAAGGTTTAGGGTTTAGGGTTTAGGGTTTAGGGTTTAGGGTTTAGGATTTAGGGTTTAGGATTTAGGGTGAAGGGTTTAGGGTTTAGGATTTAGGATTTAGGGTGAAGGGTTTAGGGTTTAGGGTTTAGTGAGGAGCATGCGCCGAGCCATCGTAACAAAACCCGAAAAAGGACAAGCTAGCTTCCGTTCTTCCATCTTGTTAACGGGTTTCCTTGAACCGTAAACCCTAAACCTATTGTGAGGTTAAAACGGCCTGTGAGGGGATTCCAGGATTGTAGGGCATCAGTTCTCAGAGCAGTGTTGAGTTGTGGAACTGGGTTGACTGGTTGGGTAAATGTAGGGTTTGGGGGTTGGAAGGGTTTAGGGTTTAGGGGGATTTAGGGTTTAGAAGGGTTTAGGGTTTGGAGGGTGGGGGTCTAGGGTTTAGAAGGGTCTTGAATGCATTTTTGTGGTTAGCAATGGTTGCGAAAAGAATAGTGTACAATGTTTAGGGTAGTGGCGTTGCTGCTTAATGCAGAAACTGTGACTAATAAACCCGCATCCTTGAACAGGTATGTGTGTATGTGTGTGTGTGTGTATATATATACACACATATTACATATGAGCAGGAACCAACGATTATGGGCCGAGAGAGAAAGGGAGTAAAAGGATTACATTGCTCTCGAACAAATGCCTTGTTCCGCGCTGCTCGTGCCTTACAGCCAAGCAGTCACCGTGCATGCCAGTCAAACCTTCCTGTGGTCTCCTTCCTAAACCCCATAAACCCTAAACCAAGCCCTAAACCCTAAACACTTGTATTGGCTGCCAGGTCCCAAGAAGGAACTACAATGGAGACTAACCCTAAACCCTAAACCCGAAACCCTAAACCCTAAACCCTACTATAGGTATGTTGCGCTCCAAGGATCGCACGTAACCCAAATAACTGCCGATCTGACCGGGATGACAATCCCTGAACCCTAAAGGTTTAGGGTTCAGGGTCCAGTAGTTTACGGTTTAGGGCTTAGTAGCTTAGGGTTTAGGGTTTAGGGTTTAGGGTTTAGGGACCCAGCACCCGACAAAATCCCAAGCTTAAAACCTATAGGCCCTCAACCCGAAACTACGCGACATCTCTAGAGCCCTACGAGGCCGAACTGCGAGAGCCGCTCCGCCCTGAACCTGCAAATCCCACCGTTTAGGGTTTAGGGTTTAACGGTTTAGGGTTTAGGGTTTAGGGTTGCCGCAAGCCCGGCTGTCATGTCAAAACCATAGGCCGTTTGAAAAACTAGGGCCTAAACCCTGAATGATTTGAGACATGTCTGCGTCTAGCCGAAGACCGCCAGCCGGATCCTGATGTAGACCCCAGAATGTCACAGTATCTAGTAGGATCCTTATTGCAAGGACTTTGAAAATCAGGTAACCCTGACTTTGACTACAAATAGTAACTATATAATAAGGTTTTTCACGAGGACTCCTAAGTAAGGCAACCCCTGAACGAGTTTCGGGTTTAGGGCTTCGGGTTTAGGGTTTCGGGTCTAGGGTTTCGGGTTGAGGGCTTCGGGTTTAGGGCTTCGGGTTCAGGGCTTCGGGTTTCGGGTTTAGGGTTTCGGGTTCAGGGTATCCGATATCTGAAACCTCGAAACCCTGAACCTAACCGATCTATGCCAGCCGCATGTACACGTTTGCTGCTCAATGGTTGTTTAAATGATTTGTAGGGTCGTATGGAGCTCCAATCCTATAAACCCTTCAAGCCTTAGGCCCTAAGCCGATTTTAAGACCCCCGCGCACAAACCCTAAACCCTACACCATACCTGGGCATCCAAAAAACCTACTGGTTTCGGGGTTAGGCCCATATAGAATTAAGGGGTCATAACCTACTATTGTGCAGGGTTTGGGGATACAGGTATACCCCTAAACCCTAAACACCTTAAACTAAAACACACACCCGGGAAGGATCCGCTGAGCCTCGCCTGGGAGCGTCCCACCCGGACTTTGTCCATCTCTTGCATGAGCTCCTGGGTTCAGAGTATAGGGCCGTAGAGCCCTTGATTAGGGTTTAGGGAAAAGGGTTGGGGCTAGAGAGTTTAGGGCTTTGGGGCTAAAGGGTTAGGGTTGGGGCTACAGGGTTTAGGATTTTGGGGTTTTGGGTTGGGGCTAAAGGGTTTAGGGAATAGGGTTGGGGCTGAAGGGTTTGGGGTTTTGGGGCTTAGGGCTGGGTTTGGGGTTTTGGGGCTGATGGGCTTTGATGGGTTTTGGGTTCTGGGGCTAAAGGGTTTAGGGTTTGGGAGTAAAGGGTGGGCTAAAGGGTTTAGGAAATTGGGGTTTAGGTTGGGGCTAAAGGGTTTAGGGAATAGGGTTGGGGCTAAAGGTTTTAGGGTTTTGGGGTTTAGGATTGGGGCTATATAAAGGGTTTAGGCTTTGGGGCTTAGGGTTGGGGCTAGAGGGTTTAGGGAATAGGGTTGGGGCTAAAGGGTTTAGGGTTTAGGGTTGGGGCTAAAGCCTTACAGTAAACCACAAAAAGTTGGCAACCGGGATTAAGGACAAGTAGTGCTGGGATTCCCTATACACTCTTCAGGATTGAGGCTACTGGGTTTCCAACTTTTGGGCTTCTACTGTAGAGCTGAGGGGTCTGGGGCGAGATTCAGGGATCCGGGTTGGAGCTCTTTCATAGGTAGCTCTCTAAATTAGAGTCCCCCTTTGGGCCCCCAAAACAGCACGGCACTCTCATAAACAGGACTCTAAACGGGACCCTAATTTAGAGAGCTGCCCTTATAGAACCCTTATAGATCCCTTTAAGGAACCCTAAAAAGGAACCCTAAAAGGGAACCAAATTTGGAGAACTACCCATCTAAAACTTGGGTTCTTGAGACTTGACGGACCTTCGGAAGAGAGCACTTCGGACGCTGGGGTTCGGGGCTATTGCTGCTTGTAAGTTTCGGGTTTGGGGGTTTAGGGGTTTGGGGTTTAGAGTTTAGGGGTTTTCGGGTTTAGGGGTTAGGGGTTTAGGGGGGGTATGGGTTCACGGGCTTGTGGGTCAAGTCGAAGGTCTAGAGAAACTCTGATGTCAGTGATGGGGGGTTTTGGGTTTTCGGGGGTACGTGTTAGCGGAGACCCAAGGTGCCTGTAAACCCTGTAGCGGTTGCGCGGGTTTCGGGTTGGTCAAACCTGCATGGAAGCATAGGAATAACGGGACTGGCCAGTCAAAGGTTGTTGACATCTCAACAAGTGCTTCCCCCGATACCCAGGAAAAAGTGCATCACTGCATGCCGAACAGACCCAAACCCTAAATCTAACGACATCCATGGCAACTCGAAGAACTAAGTTTGCACGGTAGCCCTAATCCTACACCTCTACGAATAAACCTGACCGCCAGTGCTGGGCAGGCATCCAAAGCTTTTTCTATGGCTCCGCTCCGCGCGCAGCCTTCCAGTAGGATCCCGTACGTGACGGACGTCGGCGCCACACCGTTGTCCTTTGCTGTTGAAGGTTCAGAATCCCACAGATTGAAGCTATTCCGTAAACCCTAAACCCTAAACCCCAAACCCTAAACCCTATAAATTAAACACTAAACCCTGAACCCTGATGGGTTCAGGGCTTCTCACCTGCACGGCGGAACTCCACCATTCTAGAAATGTCTCGAATTCTGGGTTTAGGGTTTAGGGTTTAGGGTCTGTCTTCGAGACCCTTGGCATTCTCAGTGAAATTAAACTCATCGACCCTCTCAGCTTGGACCCTAAAAAGCCTACCGTTTTAAGGACTTATACAAGGAAATCAGAATAATGAACCCTAAAAAGGTAGGTTCTATAGGGTCCAGGCTAAGCCTAAAGCCCGAAACATCAAGCCCTAAACCCCCAAAACCCAAAACCAAAACCCTAAACCCCAAACCCAAAACCCTAGACCCTAAACCCTAAACCCTAGACCAATTTTGGGCTTGAGGGCCCTTGAGGTCCTGGCGCACAGAGGGCTGGTGTCAGGTCATATTCTGCGTAGGTCTTTAAATTCGGGCGCTATTTAAGGGTCCCATTTAATCATAAGGGTGCCGTACTATTGTGGGGACCTTAGAAGAGACCCTAATTGAGAGAACTGCACAATATACCCCGAACCCCCCCCAGGTACCTACTATATAGGGTACTGGAGCCCCTAGGGCCCTATATAGTAAGTACCTGGGAGGTTAGGGTACTATCAAAACTAGGTCGAGAGATGCCTCCACGCCCTAAACCCCAAATCCCATACGCTACTTGGAGGATCATGGGACTTAGTAAGTATGGCTATATATAAGTACCTTAATTGAGTTATAAGTAGTCATAAGTAGAGTTACCCTAACAATAACCTTAGTTACTAAGTCCCATGATCCTTCAAGTAAACCCCAAATCCCATACGCTACGCCCTACAACTGAAACCCCCAACTCTACACATGCCAAAACCGGAGGCTAAGTCAAAGTATGTTGGAGTTTAGGGTTTAGGGTTTAGGGCCATCTGTCTAGCATATGTGCCTGAACATCTTGAATAGGGCTTCGTGGGTATACGACCAGAATTGCTTTTAGAAGCCCTCCACAATAACCTCTCAGGCCGCCTATGTTACGGCTGTCCTGGTTGCACGTGTTTCTTGCTTAAGTGTGTACGGTTAGGGGTTTGACGGTTTAGTTTGGGGTTGTTTTTTCAGGGTTTGGGAACAGGTTTTGAGGTTTCGGGCGGGGGTGGGCGGGGGGTCAACTTGCGAGAGTATCCCACCGCACGCTCAGGGTTTTAGGGTTCTGGGTTCGGGGGCATGGAGCAGTGCCAAGGCGATTCGGCTTGGTTCGCCAATCGTTCGGGGATAAGGATGTCGGGCTGCTCCTAAACTCTTGCTACATACATACATACATACATACATACATACATACATACATACATACATACATACATACATACATACATATGCATACATTTACATACATATAAATACATACTGTATATATATATATATATATAGATAGATAGATAGATAGATAGATAGATAGATAGATAGATAGGTTTCGGGGCACAGGTCTTAAGATGCAGGGCTTCGGGGTGCCAGCCATCCAACCTGCTGCTAGCTCAACGTTCCTGTCCCAACCGTCTCTGGCCCCCTAAACCCTAAACCCCCAAACCCCTAAACCCCTAAACCCCTAAACCCCTGAAGCCCCTAAAATCTTGCAAACAAGCATCCTGCATCCGTCTCCTTACATCACGAGGGGACATGGTTTCAAGGGCCGCAGGCTCGGAAAGCTCAGAGCTTTGAGAGGCCGGGTCTTGGGTTCGATTGGGGTTTAGGGTTTAGGGTTTAGGGTTTAGGGGTCTTGGATAAGGGTTCTATGAGGGGTGTATAAGGGTTCCTATAAGGCTTCTATATTACTGTTTAGGGCCGACGGTCCTAAAGCCCAGCGCCTCAAAACCTGCCTCAAAGGCTCGAAGGACTCATGTAAAACCCTAAACCCTAAACCCTAAACCCTAAAACCCTAAACCCTACACCCTAAAACCCTACACCCTAAACCCTAAAACCCTAAACCCCAAACCCTGGATATGTTCAAGCTCCTGGACTTACATATCCTGCATAAAAATGTTGGGCAAAACTTGAGCCATGGTTGGGTTTCCCCAAACCGTGCTAAAACCCTCCAGAGATCTTCCCTAAACCCTAAGCCCATACAAACACACCTGTAAGCCTAAAAAATGGGGGTGCGGAGCCCCTTCCAAAAGCTACAACTAAGAGTCTAAGAACCTCCTTCTGCCGTTAAGTAAACACAAGGCTGCGAACCCTCAGAGCAATGGCCAGACTTATGTCCCTAAGCCCTAAACCCCATGCAAACCGTAACCAGACCCTAGGCCCTAAATCCTTAGATGCAAAGGCTCATGAGCGCTTCGGCTTCCTCTGACTTCGTTGTCTGCGCGAAGGATCTGATGACCTGAGGTTCGGGCTTCGGGTTTTCGGAAAGGTGGAATGAAGGTATTGAAGGGGCCTAAATAATTACCAATACTATTTTTGGGGGGTTCCTTATTATAAGCAAAGTATATTGGTGCCCAAAAGCCTATCCTAATTGCTGCCATTGTTGGGGCCCCTATATTCGGAAAGGTGGGATGAAGGTAGTTGGGGAAATCCCAAAGACGGCTTATTATGTTGTGTAAGGAATCCCACCCCGGCTCCCTGAATGTACCTCTTGGCATTCACGGCTGAACGCTTCAGGGGCGCTGTTGCCCGCTGCTGTATCTTTTCCAGAAGAAACCAGAGTGTCAATCAGATTCCGGCTTGACCGCGATTGCATTGATCTCCCCAAGCCTTCCAATCCAACCCGGAAGGCCTGTTGCTACCGGAATTCTGTATTCTACACCCCCCAAAGCCGAAATCAATCAACTAGACCCTTGTAACCTGCACCCCAAGGTCAGGCGACATAGATTCCATTCTTGGGGTTGAGGTTACTTATCCTAGTTATAAATGGATAGACATCTAACGGTCTAACTTCTTCTCCCGGAGTAAAACCTATATTGCCAAACTTTAGCCGTAGTGCCTGCAGCATGCACCTCAAAACCCTAAACCTGGAACCCGAAACCCCGAACCATGAACCCTAAACCCTAAACCCTAAACTGCCTCAGCCGAAAAGGTCCTAAACCCGCAACCCTTGAAGGAACCTTAAAAGGATCCCCTTTAGGGTTTAGGGTTTAGGGTTTAGGGCTTAGGATTTAGAAAGGAAGCCCAGAAAGGATGCCGACCAGGCTTTGGGCAGGCGGCAGAGTTCCAAGTCAGAACGGAGGGCATCACCCGCGCCTGCAGGGTTTTTAGGGTTTAGGGTTCAGGATTTAGGGATTAGGATGTAGGGATTAGGATGTAGGGATTAGGATTTAAAGTTTTAGGGATTAGGGTTTAGGGTGTAGGGGTTTTGTAGGGCTTAGAGGGTTTAGGGTTTTAGGTTTAAGCACCAGTTGGTTTTTGTCTTATCAGGCTCCCCTGAAGTTTTACAGGGCTTTGGAGGGTTTGAGGGGGTGCTATTTGGTTTTGCAAGGATAAAACCCTGAAGCTGCAAACCCTAAATCCCAGAAGCCCGAAAACATTTCAGGCGTTTGAGGGGTCTTTTTTACCTATAGCAGATCCTAACCATAAAACATGGGGTAGGGTATGACCCCCTAGGTAGTGCGGTCCTACATACCTGAAACTCACACTTCTGGAAACCCAGGAATGGCTGCGAGGGAGTTCGTGATCTACATACGGGCAGTTCCCTAAATCAGGACCCCTTCTTTTGGCCTCCTTTTCGTGAGGGTGCCGCCTTCTTTTGTGTTCCGAAAATAGGACCCTAATTCTTAACTACCCATCTCTTATTGCAGGGGTTTCCTTGAACCCTAAACTCTAGACCGTAAACCCTTCTAGGTTCCTAGAGAGGGACCCGAATTTAGAGAACTACACATCTCTTATTGCAGGGGTTTCATAAACCCTAAACCCTGAAAAAAAAAACGAAACCTAAACCCTAAACCCCCAAACCCTAAACCTGTAGATCTCACAACTCTTAGCCTTTGAGAGCTCAGGACACCATCAGCCCACATGGGTCGTTCTCCCGTTTTAGGTCCCCAACATAGTACAGCACCCCCATAAAGGGACCCTGAAAGAAACCCTAAACCCTAAACCCAAACCATAAAGCTCTGAATGGGGGTCTCCGAAAATCGGGGAGCCTAATATAATACCCAAAATAATAGGATCCTTATTATAAGGACCCCAAAATAAGGTACCCCTCATGTTCGGAAACTCCCAAATGGCCCTCACCGACCTGACGCCATAAGACCCGAGCCGCGGATCAAACTGAATTTTAAGGTGAGGCTCCAGTAGGGAATGCACCTAGGGCTTCCAGGGCTCGGGGTTTAGGGTTTAGGGTTTAGGGTTTAGGGTTTAGGGTTTAGGGTTTAGGGATATGTCTACACTCGAGCTATACTAATATAGGGCCCTTATAATAACTAGAATAGGGTTTTGTACTATATTTATAATAAGGAACCACCAAAAAGTATTAGCAATTATTTCGGGCCCTATATTGAAGCTCTTGTGTCAATCAACCCGCCTGGATCATGTCCTCCAGTACTCTAAGCGCGCCGCGCTCGTCATAGCGGTATGCCTTCAGAACCTCAGCAACCACTGCGGGATGCCAACTGTGCCCTGAAGCTTAGCTTTCAGCTTTGGGTGCTGGTTCAGCTGTACGTAATTAATGTTTAGGGTTTAGGGCTTGATGGTTGGAAGCCCAAAGACTCTGCACTTTCGGCCTCTGCCACTGGTCCGCACAGAGCTAGGACGCCTGAGTCCTTAAGCCCAATTTTATTGCGTAGGGCCCCTTGCCGGAAACTCTGAGCCGGAAACCCTGAACCCACCTGCAAACCTGTAGATACTGAGCCCTCGACCAGGAGCCCCAAAGCTAAACCTTAAATTCCCCAAATCGCTAAACCCTAAACCTGAATCCCTACTAAACCCTAAACCCTAAACCCTAAACCCTAAACCTTAAACCCCAAACCCCCTAAACCCCTAAACTCCTAAACCCTAAACCCCTAAAACCCTAAACCCTAGACCTAGACATTCCTCAACCCTAGACCGTGGCTCTGCAATCTCGGTGCCGAGGAGTAGAGGACGGAGTTCACCTCAGCGGAAGCAGAGCCACGGTTTGGGCTTGAGGCGTTTAGGGGATTTAGGGTTTAGGGTTTAAGGGGTTTAGGGGTTCATAAGTTTGGGGGTTTGGGTTTAGGGGTTTATAAATTTAGAGGTTTAAGGCTTTGTGAGGTTAGAGGTTTAGGTCCTGTAGGGCTGTAAAAGTTCAGGGGTTTAGGGGTTTTAGTGGCTTTCGGGTTCTATGGTTTACCCTAAACCCTAAACCCTAAACCCTAAACCCTAAACCCTAAACCTTAGGGGTTTATAGGCTTGGAAGCTTCGGGGGTTCGGGTTCTAAGTTTTCAGGGCTTTAGGGTTTAGGGTTTAGGATTTTAGGGCTTTAGGGGCTTAGGGTTTAGGGTTTAGGATTTTAGGGCTTTAGGGGCTTTGGGTTTAGGGTTTAGGATTTTAGGGCTTTAGGGGCTTAGGGTTTAGGGTTTAGGGCTTTGGGTTTTTAGGGGTTTAGGGTTTAGGGTTTTAGGTTTTAGGGGTTTAGGTTTAGGGTTTAGGGGTTTAGGTTCTCAGGGGTTTAGGTTCTCAGGGGTTTAGGGTCTACGACGCAGGACCCCAAGGCCTAAGCCCACACTCAGCAATGGGAGAAAACTCGTGTCTTGTGGATTTGGTGTCTTTAACTTTGTGTTGCTGGCGGGGGAGTAAAATCGAGAAATAGGTTGGCTATGCTGTTTGGGGTTTCAGCAGCGAGTGAACCCTAACAAAGGCCGTGCTTCGATTCCCACATAACGATTAATGACATAGGCTAGGAGTTGTGGATTCTTGCTCTCAGCCCCTAAACCCTATGTTTGGGGGGCTGTTGGCACAAAGAAACCTTGGCACCCTACCTTAAGAGCCCAAAACCTACTTTTTTGTAGGGTCCCTATAAATCCCATATTAGGGTTTATAATAAGAGCCTACAAAAAAGTGGGTTTGGGGTTCTTAAGGTAAACCCTAAACCCCAAATGCTACTCACAGTCGTACTTCGCAGGGAACTCAAGCTTTCTCTTTGAAGAGGCGAGCTGCTTTGCGTCTTTGAGCTTCTGCACTCGCTGACTGTCAAAGCTACTATAGGGGCTAAATCAGGCGATGCTGATCGTTTTTACTCAACTATGAGATACTATATATTGTTAGCACTACTCACTACTGGTACGTACTTAAGCGAAGAAGACTCGCAAGAAGCAGCTCCTTCGCTCGAACCCCGTAGAATCGTGCCTGAAGCCTGCGCCTAAACACCCCAGCAAACAACCCGAAACCCTACACCCTAAACCCTGAACCCTGAACCCGAAACCCTACGCCCTAAACCCTACACCCTAAACCTTACACCCCAAACCGTAAACACGAAACCCTAAACCCTGCACTCTACAATCCCAATCCCAAGAGGTCGCTGCCCAAGTCGCCGGCAAGTTGGCGTCGCGCACCTCTTGCAGCCACCTGGGGTTTAGCGGTTAGAGTTTAGGGTTTAGGGATTTGGAATGCCGGGAACTTCGGCGAAAGATGGGTTCGAGTTCACTGCAGAAGCGAATGAAGCTGGCTCCTAAACTCTTACCCAACACAGCCTAAACCCTAAACCCAAAGCCCTATTCCTGGGCTTTGAAGTAACCAGAGAGAAAAAAGTATAGACTTTTATTTTTATAATGGTTCCTTTAAGGAACAGGTCCCAAAAAAGTATTATAAAGTATGGTACTCCAAAGCCCAGACCAGCTCCTGGCATCCGGTGCCAAAGCCCTGCTCTGAGGCCTGCGATCCAATGCAGATCAGGGTCCCAATACCCCGTAGTTAAGGAATATACCCAGAGACCCCAATACCCCTTAATTATTGAAGGTATATTCCCTAATTAAGGGGTATTGGAGTCTCTGGGTACCTTACATCATATTCGGGATCCTACTATAATTTAAGGTATATTCCTTACATCATATTCGGGATCCCTACTATAATTTAAGGTATATTCCTTAACTAAGGGGTATATTGGAGTCTCTGGGTCCAAGCCCCAAGGGTTCCCTGCTTTTTTGGAGGCTTTCTGTGTAGTTCTTTGAAGAAGTGGGTCTCTTGGGTTACAGCGAGGGTTTAGGGCTTCAGGGCTTCCGGCGATTGCAGGAGTTTGTTTAATGGTGTACTTGGCGCTGCTGAGGAGAGGAGGATGGACGCTACGATGACGAGGATGACGCATGACCGATGCCTGGCTGACCGAACCGACTACCTGCGAGGCTGGCTAGCTGACGGGCTGGCTGACTTCGTTGTTCATCCGTGGGGTGCTCAGAGCTTACAGGGTGCCGATTGAGGTTCTGGTGGAAGATTTGGGTCTCTCAGAATGAGGCACAATAGCTGCAAGAAGCGTTGAGTTTTTAAACCCCTCCTATGTCCGAAACAGAACTGAGCTCCCCCACCTCGCGGTCTGTGAGGGCCAAGTATGCTTGTAGCTCCTCGAGGAAACACAAGACAGCAAGACCCTGAAAACCTCAAAACGCGAACTGAGAGGATGCGATTTCGGGTTGTCAGCAGTCTGAGAAGGTTTTGAGCTGCATAGGAGTTAGGATTAGGGTGACCCTTGGGGATATAGACCCTCTCAATCAGGTCCCTGCCGCTTTTACGAGAGCCAAAACTGGGGTTAAGAAGGGTCCCCTTTAAGGGGTCTCCCTAATACTACCTAGGACTGAAGCAGGGGCCCGGCTGGCAGGAGATTTGTGGGATGACGGGCCCCGAGGCCGTGATTGTCGAGGGGTCCAGGGGGGGCAATGTTTTGTCTTCCGTGTGCGGCGTACCGAGCAAAGCAGGAAACATTTCTAGAGCGGGCCGAGCAAGACAAACTTCTTCCCTGGGCCCCGAGACATTTCCCAGTTGTGCTATCTACATGGGTGGTTGTCAACATTATGGTCCCTTTTTGGGTCCTTATTATAATACGGCACCTAAAAATTAGGGTACCCCAAAAGGGACCATAATTTTGACAACCACCCACATTTGTTTCCTCTCGGCTTTTTCACTCTCTCGATTTCGCCTCCCTCCGACAACTGATTCCGCAAGTACCTGCGGGTATGAAACTTTCAAGCTCTCAGACTATGACAGCTTCTTGGAGAGCTAACGCCCTGTAGAATCCTTGCCAAAACCTCTCAAGCCCTGAGAAACATTAAAACACCAGGTAAAACACCATCAAACCCTGA